TTGGCCGACCGGCCTACAGGTTGGCTTTATGGCCGACAGGCCTTCCAGCTTCCCATTTTTGGACGGCCAGGCCTTTCTTTATGGACTTTCTAGCAGGCCCGCCTTCCCTTCTCCCCTCAGGCCCGCCGGCCTCCCTTTGGCAACCCGCCTACTGCCAACAGCCAGCCGCCACATTATGGCGCCTTCCGGCCTCCAACAGCCGCCAACTTCCGCCTTCAGGGGCCTCCCCTCCCCCCTCCCCTCCCCCCTCCCTTCCTTCCTCCCCTCCCCCCTCCCCTCCCCCCTCCCCTCCTCCCTCCCCTCCTCCCTCCGCTCCTCCCTCCCCTCCTCCCTCGGCCCACCCCACAACCACCCCATCGCGCGGCTCGCCCTCTGCGTCCAGCAGCCTCACGCGCACCCCGAGCCACGAATGCCCCTGCCGCCGAAAGCCAAGCACGGGCGCCGCGCAGGCGGCGGGAGCCTAGTGCCACACCACCCACGGGAATGAACCCACACTGGATTCGGAACTCTGGAGGTGTGGGACTAGCGGCCTCCGCCTCCGCACCACCCTCCTCGCCGGCGCTGACTGCCTCCGCCTCCGCCTCCCCCCCCGCCCCCGGCGCAGCGGCGGGCACGAAGAAAATGGACAGCGCGCCGCCGCCGCCCGCGCCGCCGCCCGCGCCGCCGCCCGCGCCGCCGCCCGCGCCGCCGCCGCCCGCTCCAGCTCCACCGCGCATCTCCCGCCGCAGCGCCGCCGCCAGCTGCTTGTCCGCCCGCACGTCGCTCGCCCGCAGCGCTTTCTCGAGGCCGTCGACGCATTGCACTCGCCCCCAGCCGCCGGCGGCGCTCTCCGTATACACAGCCGAGGCGCAAGGGGGCGGCTGGGTGGCGGCGGAGGGCGCTGGCGGCGCCGGAAGGCGCCAGTAGCGCGCTCCGTACCGATCCATACCGAGGGGTGAGAGACGGAGCCGCCGCTGCTTCTCGCAGAGCGCCTGCAGGGAAGCGGCCGAGGAGGCTCCAAGAAGGGTCCGAGGAGCCGCCAGGCTACCGACGCGGTGTCGGCCGAGCGCCTGCGTGCCGGAGACGCCAGCCTCAGGGCCGGACCACGGTACGGTGCAGGGTCTTCAGAGCGACGCGAGGGCGGTGAGCACCGCTGAATACGGCCGAGCGCAGTTGGATACGCGTCCCCTCGAGCGCTAGTTGGGATAGAAGAGCACGTGTTCCGCTTCTAGGGTCCCCGGCCCGTCCGTGCTGCCAGATACGGGGAGATACGGGGAGATACGGGGAGATACATGGGGAGATACATGGGGAGATACATGGGGAGATACAGGGGGAGATACGGGGAGATACGGGGAGATACATGGGGAGATACGGGGAGATACGGGGAGATACGGGGAGATACATGGGAGATGCATGGGAGAGACATGGGGAGATACATGGGGAGATACGGGGAGAGATTCCGCTTCTCGGTTCGACAGCCTCCCTCGCGTGCGCGTCGTCCGCCGCCGCCTCTCCCTCTCCCCCGCCCTTGCCGCCCTTGCCGCCCTTGCCGCCAACGCCGCCCTTGCCGCCCCTGCCAGCGCCGCCCTTGCCGCCGTTGCCGCCAGCGCCGCCCGTGCCGCCAGCGCCGCCCGTGCCGCCAGCGCCGCCCGTGCCGCCAGCGCCGCCCTTGCCGGCGCCGCTCTTGCCGCCGGCGCCGCTGCCGTCAGCCTTGCCGCACCCTCCGCTCGCCTTCTTTGAGCCGGGGGGCCGGCCAGGCCCGCGCCGGGGCTTGGCCGCCTCGACCTGACCGAAGCAATGACGGAGGTGTCGCTCGCTCTCGCTCGCTCAGTCTGCAGCTCCATGAGTCCGCCCAAGGTGACTGAACGGCCTGCCACACCTCGGCCACACCTCGGCCACACCTCGGCCACACCTCGGCCACACCTCGGCTGCACCTCGGCCACACCTCGGCTGTACCTCGGCCACACCTCGGCTAGATCTCGGCCACACTCGGCCACACCTCGGCCACACCTCGGCCACACCTCGGCGGCATCTCGGCGGCACCTCGGCGGCATCTCGGCGGCATCTCGGCGGCATCTCGGCGGCATCTCGGCGGCATCTCGGCGGCATCTCGGCGGCATCTCGGCGGCATCTCGGCGGCATCTCGGCCTCCTCTGCCGCGGCGTCAATCATGCTGTGGAAGCGGGGAGAGGACAGCACACGCTCGCAGAGCGCCTGCAGCGCCACGAGTCCCCGAGATTACCCGAGATTACCCGAGACTACCCGAGAGTACCCAAGAGTACCCGAGAGTACCCGGGAGTACAGCACACGCTCCCCCCCCCCCCCCCCCTCCTCCCCCACAGAGCGCCTGCAGCGCTGCCGCTCGCAGCGCCGCCGGGATTGCGCAATACTCGCGAGACTG